ACACCTGACTATAGTATAATGACACGCCGATGATACACTTGACTAGTATAATGACACGCCGATGATACACCTGACTATAGTATAATGACACGCCGATGATAATGACACGCTGACTAGTATAATGACACGCCGATGATACACCTGACTAATATAATGACACGCCGATGATACACTGACTAGTATAATGACACGCCGATGATACACCTGACTATAGTATAATGACACGCCGATGATACACCTGACTAATATAATGACACGCCGATGATACACCTGACTAGTATAATGACACGCCGATGATACACCTGACTATAGTATAATGACACGCCGATGATACACCTGACTATAGTATAATGACACGCCGATGATACACCTGACTATAGTATAATGACACGCCGATGATACACCTGACTAGTATAATGACACGCCGATGATACACCTGACTAGTATAATGACACGCCGATGATACACCTGACTAATATAATGACACGCCGATGATACACCTGACTAGTATAATGACACGCCGATGATACACCTGACTCGTATAATGACACGCCGATGAAGAATAGTTTAATGATATACCTGGTGGAAAACGTTCTGGAGACCGGTGTGTTTAAAATGCCTGGCGAGGAACAGAAGAATATTATATCTCGTGGAGAAAAGAGTTATGCTGTATACCTGCTGTGGTCCAGTGAACTAGTGGACCAATTATACTTGATAGGGACCAGTGTGATAACAGACAGACAGACAGACAGATTATTTATTAAAGTCTCACCCCTGTTATACATATATACAAAATAATTAAACATGTATTTACATAAGGGCCATTCCATACGGAATTATGAGAGACTAAAATTCTTTAAAAATTGCATGTACATGTATTATGAATAACAATAATTAAAAGTTATATAATACGGATTTTCTCCTTTTTAAAATAACATGGCAGGTTTTGGCAGCTATAAAACAGATATTGCTATTGGACAGGATAAAAGCAGTTTTTTTGTATATCAGTAAGATTACTAAAATTCTGACATAGGCTATCACAAGTATTTAAAAGACTAAAACGTTCATCACTATAAACCGGACAATTAATTAAAACATGAACTTCGTCTTCAACACAGTGTTTACAATAAAAACATTTTCTGTCGTTAAGTGGAATATTGTTATATCTACCCAGCTCAATATTAATTGGTGCAGTGCCGCATCTGAACTTAGCATATGCACTTCTGTATGGGCGGGGCATGGGATGAGTTACGTAAAATTCCGGCGTATAAACATCCTTAAAAGTACCATAAAAGCGTAGCTTATTTGCCCCCTGTTTAGATGGACCACAGGTATTCCCTACCGATTCCTTCCACTCCTGTCTATAAGTATCAAATAATTTCTGTATAACACTTTGTACAATAAACCTGGAGTTAAAACTATTAGTGGGGGAAATAAAGCCGTGTAGTAACATGCCTGCTGGGGACAAGTGTGATGATATACCCAATGGTATAATTAGTTTTGTTTGTTTGGTTTTTGTTTTTTTGTTTAATGTCGCACTCACCAATATCCCAGCTATATGGCGGCGATCTGTAAATAATCGAGTCTGGACCAGACAATCAACGCTCTGTTTAATTAGGATTTCAGTGTGATGGTATAACAAAAGGAGAACATGCACTAACACTGCAGGGAGTCAGTGTGATTATATACATGTACCTGCTGAGGAATCTGTATGATGACGTACCTGCGCAGTACAATAGGATAATAACCACATGCGGTGAAATACCTAGTCCGGAACAAAGTAATTATACACTTGTTAGGGAGTAATGTAACATCATGACTGCTGGATTACAGTATTACAATGTGGACAGTATTACCATGTGGACAGTATTACAGTGTGGACAGTATTACCATGTGGACAGTATTACAGTGTGGACAGTATTACAATGTGGACAGTATTACTATGTGGACAGTATTACAATGTGGACAGTATTACAATGTGGACAGTATTACAGTGTGGACAGTATTACAATGTGGACAGTATTACAATGTGGACAGTATTACAATGTGGACAGTATTACAATGTGGACAGTATTGCATGTTATGCATGTATGGAGCCACTGGTGGGGAACCATGTAGTAAGATACAGCGGAAGATAATGTAATGGCATATACCTGCTGAAGAACCGTGCTATACTATTTCTGCTCTCGTCAGTGAAATAACATAACAGTATGAAGAACAGTATATTGATACGCCTGCTTGAAAACACTGCGGTAAAAAGGGAAGAACAGATACATAGCCTTTCGGAAAATATCGAATATACACTGCTAGCACAGCTGCAGTATCCAGAGTAATTACTTCACTTGATTATCCGATTTTGAATGAAATCAACAAAATCAAAATTAACAAATCTCTATCGTTTAGTTTTTGTAAAAACTACAAAAATAGTAGATATGTAATGCAAAGCGCATGGTTTAATGAAGTGTTAATGTTGAAAAAGTTTTAAAATTTTCGCGAGTGAAAACAGTCCTTGTTGACCGTTCATGTATGACATGCGCTGCGGGGATCAAATCAAAACGCACGACACGAGGTAAGCCATGTATAGCACATCTGCAGCTGTGACCTACAGATTTAGTACCATCTGTTTCTTCACAAACTGTTTCTCCACCACGTGGTTAATAAAATGACACACCCGCATACATGATTATAATACACCTTCGATGGATCATTGTAATATCATGGTACACAGTAGCAACACATAGGTTGGGGAACACTGTGATATATATACTACAACATCCTGCATACAAGGTAACAGCGTATTGAACAGTGTTATGATGCACCTGCTGAGGGACAGTGTTATAATACCCTGTACATAGAACACTAACTACAGCTGGAGGGGTACAAGGTTACAGTACACCCAAACAGTGTTATGATACACCTGCTGAGGGACAGTGTTATAATACCCTGTACATAGAACACTAACTACAGCTGGAGGGGTACAAGGTTACAGTACACCCAAACAGTGTTATGATACACCTGCTGAGGGACAGTGTTATAATACCCTGTACATGGACCACTGGAACACTACAGCTGGAGGGTTACAAGGTTACAGTACACCCAAACAGTGTTATGATACACCTGCTGAGGGACAGTGTTATAATACCCTGTACATGGAACACTAACTACAGCTGGAGGGGTACAAGGTTACAGTACACCCAAACAGTGTTATGATACACCTGCTGAGGGACAGTGTTATAATACCCTGTACATGGAACACTAACTACAGCTGGAGGGGTACAAGGTTACAGTACACCCAAACAGTGTTATGATACACCTGCTGAGGGACAGTGTTATAATACCCTGTACATGGAACACTGGAAAACTACAGCTGGAGGGTACAAGGTTACAGTACACCTAAACAGTGTTATGATACACCTGCTGAGGGACAGTGTTATAATACCCTGTACATGGAACACTAACTACAGCTGGAGGGGTACAAGGTTACAGTACACCTAAACAGTGTTATGATACACCCTGAGGGAGAGTGTTATAATGATACACCTACAGCTGGAGGGACAGTGTTAAATACCCTGATACACCTGCTGAGGGACAGTGCTGAATACACTACATGGCTGCTGGGTTACTAAGGTTAGGGGTACAGTACACCCAAACAGTGTTATGATACACCTGCTGAGGGACAGTGTTATAATACCCTGTACATGGAACACTAACTACAGCTGGACACTACAGCTGGAGGGGTACAAGGTTACAGTACACCCAAACAGTGTTATGATACACCTGCTGAGGGACAGTGTTATAATACCCTGTACATGGAACACTAACTACAGCTGGAGGGGTACAAGGTTACAGTACACCCAAACAGTGTTATGATACACCTGCTGAGGGACAGTGTTATAATACCCTGTACATGGAACACTTACTACAGCTGGAGGGGTACAAGGTTACAGTACACCCAAACAGTGTTATGATACACCTGCTGAGGGACAGTGTTATAATACCCTGTACATGGAACATTGGAACACTACAGCTGCGGGTTACAAGGTTACAGTACACCCAAACAGTGTTATGATACACCTGCTGAGGGAGTGTTATAATACCCTGTACAGGGACCAGGGGAACACTACAGCTGCGGGGTTACAAGGTTACAGTACACCTGAAGAGTCTTATGATACACCTACTGAGGAACAGTGTCAGTGGTAAAGAGAATAGTGACATCCTAGTAACCAATGAACCCACAATGATCAGCAAAGCATTGTAATTCAATTTCAAAGAAGCAATATATCCTAATGAACATCGTTTGCTCTCACCCATGAGATATGTACTGCGATGACCTGTTGTGGATAATACCATGATGACCGGCATGAATAAAGGACAACTGTATGTGGTCAACCTTGGCATGCATAGTTAACCTAGATGCTAGATTGTACAATCATAAACGTAACAAGGCGTACTGTATTGTGCTGTGGACTCGTTACCCCAGCTAACCTGATACTAATGAGATTAAAACAGTGAACCTTGCAGTGAATGTATACTTTATCCAGCAAGGGGTTTCCCTATTAAAACGGTATTAGTTCACAGTATACAGGATTGTCTTCCGTTTGTCTGCGTTATCAACAATTTGATGATTCGCAAATATAACATATGTTTGGGATTACACTTTCTTAGTAAAGTACAGATTCTAGTAATTTTGTTGGGTTGAGTCCAATTTGGGATTCGAGCCCACACCCTCAGAGTCAGGCACCTATTTGCCAGCACACAAAGTCTGGGTCTTCATTCTCGAAACGTTCGTAGCCCTAAGAATTCTTAACTTTGATCGTAGCCAATGTGTTATGAATGGGCTTAAGAAGTTCGTAGGGCTACGAACGTTTCGAGAATAGCTAGCCAGGTCCCTTATTCTCGAAACGTTCGTAGCCCTAAGAAATCTTAACTTTGATCGTAGCCAATGTGTTACGAATGGGCTTAAGAAGTTCGTAGGGCTACGAACGTTTCGAGAATAGCTAGCCTGATTCGGAAGATTCGTAAACAGTCTTGTGGCAATTGTTCATGGGTGTCTGTAGCGCCCGAATCTCATATGAGACAATCTGGCTTGACGAGAACATTCCGCATCGGAACCAGGGGTCTGCAAAACATAAACCATTACACTTATGTCACAAACTTACAATTTCATGCATTTAAATATTTGTCGCTACAAATCACAGAATTGTAATAAAACACTGCATTGACTAAGTGATTGGACGATTTTACATCAGGACAATCATATCGGATCGGCTAAGGGAATTGGAGTAGCCTCCCTTTCCTCACGCAACGATGTATATGACAGTTCATCGTTTGGCCAGTAGATGTCAGGTCACGGGGAGTCTAGCATACGTACATATTCGCTGGTTTAAATATTCCTTATATACACGTTAACGTTTCTAAACGTCTGTAAACGCAATTCTTGGTTCAACCAAATTTACAGACGGCAGGTCCGTAAAGCAAGTAAAATAAGTGAGGCCTTACTGCATTAGTTTGAGATATACACAGTGATTAAACACCTTTGACGTCAGTAATCCCCATCCATAATAAATAATTACAAAACATACCTTACACGTGCAGCTCCAAGCATATCGCGGATTTGCTTCGCTGAATACTATTCTGGTTGTATTGAAAGGGACGGGGTCGACTGAGTCCACCTTCCCATTCATTGGCCACTCCAAGGGAGGTAATCGACAATTTAATCCTGGGAATAAACAATCAATGAAACGTTGGCGAAGAAGCTGTCAGATTCAGCACATTTCCTCATATTGATGGCAGCATAAAAATGTCTCGATTATAGTTTGTGGAACTCGATACTTCATATAATGAAGAAATCTTGTGCGAAACTAAAGACTGAATTACAACAGTGGACGCGAATAGACATTTCCGATGTATATTCTCTACTGCAGTTACTACTACTACTACTACTACTACTGCTGCTGCTGCTACTTATAACACTACTAGTACTAGTACTACTACTGAAGTTCTCTCACTACTGCTACTTTTGAGAAGTATGAGTCATAAAGAAGGAATATGTTTTGCTGGTTTGGTACAATGGGAACACGGGCATTTTAATGTTACTGAGTAAAGAAACTTCCGGCAAGAATTTTGAGATCGCTACCTAAGACAAATTTGATCATGCACATGAAAAGTGAAAACAACTCTGTTGTTCGACATCAATGAGTCGGTTACGAGTATTCAGCGAGGGGTAGCGTTTTGCGCCGCTGTGAACACTCAGTATTCCAGTAATATCGCTACGTGTCGGGAGGAGAGCCCGACATGATACAGGTCTCAGACATTTACCATTTAAGTGAAACCCACGAGCACGGGTTTCATGGGAACCCACAATCCTAGGTTCCTGGCGAATCTAAGAGACGCAACTCTGTACATCACGGCACCTACCGCCCGTGAGCTAATTGAGCGTGAGTTAATGACAGAAATTAATGTCACAATTGTAGGACATATTTACGATGTACTGTTCTGTATTTCAATTAAAGAATAAATGTCATGGAAACTGATTCTACTTGACCAATGCAGGCGGAACTTTTAAAAACTGTTCATTTTTGTTTTACAATTTAAAAACAATTAATGCATTTTATTTTGCATTTATGTCGTCAATCTCATTAGCTGTAAAATAGAGAACAATGTCTTGACGATCTAGTTTAAGGATGTCCCAACATAAAGTAGTTATAAAATGTGGTTTGGAAAGTCACTCCATGAACACATAACGTATAACATTCTTACCAGAGGGACACAGATGACAGCAATGGCCTTCCATGAAAGCTGGGTTCACGCAACCAACCGCGAAACACTCCATCTTCTCGCATTCAGTGACCCCTGGTTCTGCCTTGCACGTGCACAACATGCACGGGTCATCCCCATTGAGCGGGAACTTATCACCAACGTTGTACGTTTGACCGTTACGCCGACAAACAAGTTTCTGACAACAGCAGGAATCCGGTGACCACTGGAAAACGAAGCGTACGTAGAATAAGGATACCATAACGTTTAAACTAAATATTCCACTTCCACCACTCAGAGAGATGGTTCACACTCATGGTGTTGGTAAGTCCATGCAAAGACACAATTAAGTGCATCACTCACCCCTCTTTCCAGCAACCGCAATAACAGAGTATAGTGTTACTCTTCTGAACCCGACAGCCTATAATACTCTATAACACTTGTCAAATATGTTTTGCTTCAGTGTTTAATGACCACGGTCTCGATCCACAAAGCGTTCGTAAGGTTGCGACCTGTCGTAACTCTACAGTTTATCATAGTCTTACGAATGTCGTAGCGCTACGAGCGTTTTGTGGATCGGGACTCTGGCATTGTAAATACCGCAAATTACGATTGTAACACACGGAAAGACAGATATGACCATCTTTTCTTTCTTGTAATACATTGTTGTCGAAATACTTATTAAGAAATAAACTTAGTGGAGTTCGTTATAGCCGTAGATTCCCGTCAGTGTTCTCGTTCTGCAGCATTCCCTCTACTTGTCATCTACACTCTTGAATGATGTAACGAGTTTGGTTTTACGCCGCACTCAGCAATATTCCAGTTATATGGCGGCGGTCTGTAAATAATCGAGTCTGGACCAGACAATCCAGTGGTCAACAGCATGAGCATCAATCTGCGCAATTGGGAACCGATGACATGTGTCAACCAAGTCAGCGAGCCTGACCACCCGATCTCGTTAGTCGCCTCTTACGACAAGCATGGGTTACTGAAGGTTCATTCTAACCCGGACCTTCACGGGTGTTTTGTGTGAGAGACGGAACCCAGCTTATGATATCTGAGCCCGCCCCAACTTGAGACGGAGCCTGGCGTACCCGCAAAGATGTATTCTGACTCAGTTAGTCTTACGGAAGGGAATTTCCATCACTCGAATCACGACGGAGGGTAAAAAGACAACACACCTGTATGATATTCAAAGACAGATGTCCGCATTCCGTTACATCAAACATGAAAAACATACTTCTCGATGTTTCCAGGACGTCAAGAACACGCATGTGAAACTTGCATGGAAATATTTTATATTCTATTCATATTTCAAATACGTCGTTTCAAACACACTAACAAAACTAATGCTAGTGCCGCTTTTCAAAGACTGTTTGGTTTATGACAAAACAACACTCTGAGTAACTTTCGAGAAATATCACGAAAGGGACACATTTAACCGTAAAGAGACCGGCATGATGTTTTAACGAGACTAACAAACTGTCCGTTTCAAACTGCAGACCCTCCAACTGCAGATGTCACTGTGTAGATGATGTCCATTGCTCTTATGTGAAATACATTCATCTTAATCGATTTTCAACTATGGCAATGAGACTGACTGAGTTTAGTTTTACGCCGCTTTTAGCAATATGCCACCAATATCACGGCGGGGGACACCAGAAATGGGCTTCACACATTGTGCCCATGTGGGAAATCGAACCCGGGTCTTCGGCGTGACGAGCCAACGCTTTATCCACTAGGCTACCCCACCGCCCCTATGACAAACAGATGGGCCATGACATTGTCAAGATGATACTACCTATAAGTAATTAGTATAGAAACACACCATTGTTTCACTGAAGAGCTTCGTTACCTGTAAAAGTAAATTTTGAAATAAACTATCAAAGAGCAGCTTTTTAAATTGATTGGTAGAATTTTAATGATTTCTCATGAAAATGTTTCCTGTTATCTATCGCTTTGACTGGTACTTAAAACTGGACGACGGTAATATCTGCTTGAAACTGTGAATTGACGGCCACATATACACATGAGCATTAACTAAACACCACCTTAATCACTGGCATGCACATGTAAAACATGTGCTTCAAACAATTTCTCATGAGCTATGGGTCGCATGTTAACGTGCAGCGAAGGCGCCAAGCACATTGGGGTGTAAGTTTCATAATTGCAGTTTATGCACTACAGTTTTCTGAACAGATTTAAAATACGACTGCACTAAACCTTACTTTTTTTGACATGGTTCAGCTCTAAGAAAACAATTCACCATGGCAAATTATTAGCATTCATGACGCAGGGATGACCTGTCGCAACATCGGTGCTAACTTGAACATCAAACTGTTACAATTCAACTTGTGAGGACGCACTTGGCCACAGGTAAAACAAAGGGACGCCTCTAAGTCCGAGGAAGACCAGAGGTCGTTATGAGTCCTAACTCTTCACAATCCAATGATCCATGCCCAAGATCTGCGATGACAATGGAGATTCCGAATATCAACCAGTACCATCAGAAGGAGGCTGTTGGTCTGGGGGTTCATCGTCCGATCGGACGTCCTTTTCACACAGACAGGGCACAGGCAGGAGGCAGAAACGTCTAGCGTGGTGCACACTCCGAGACAAGGGCAACTTGGTCTGGGACCGCCTCCGTGGTGTAGTGGTTAGAGCGTCCGCCCAGGAGAGCGGAAGGTCGCGGGTTCGATCCCCGATCGCGTCATACCAAAAGACGTTAAAATATGGTACTTGTGGGACCCTGTCTGGCGCTCGGCACGAATGGGTACAACAAGGACTGGTCGACTCGGAGTCAGTATAATGTGTCTGAGTGGGGTATTCATGCTTCACTGCGGCATGGTATCTCAGTGTGCTAGCACTATAAAACCAGCTTCAGTCTGGGCTAGTACAAGCAGCCGCACATACACATACACACGCATGCACGTCGTCATATGAGCGAAATATTCTCAAGTACGACGTAAAACCCAATTTCACCTCACCTCACCTCAACTTGGTCTGAATACAGTCGTCATCCTACACGTTGGCGAATGTCGTTGTCGCGCATGGAGACGTCGTAGAGAAGCATATCCTCAGGAGATGATCCGTTCAGCTAAACCCTTTGATGGTGGCTCACATTTCGTATAACTGCACGTTGGATTTCATTAGAGTGCCTGGGACTGTCAATGGTCAAAGAAATCAACAGGAAGTACTGGATATCTCCGTCCTGATACATTTTACTAACAATCCTCTTGTCATTCGTCTGACATTCCAGGATGGCAAGGCTAGAACACACCGTTCCCATGCCGTCGTCGCCCATTTGCAGAACAACGCCATTATCATGGCACGCAAATAGCCACAATATGGACCCCAATAAACATCTTTGGGACTATATTGGACGCCAAGTTCGAGCTTGACATTCACCTGTATAGAACCTGCAGGAACTGGCACAGGTACTCCACGAGGCACGATAGAGGGTTCCGATGCTGAGAATTCGATGTTTGGTTGTCGGTTTGAGCAGGAGACTGGCAGCTCTTATCCATGCTACACCAAGAGCTGATGTGGTCGCCAGTTGTGGGTCATCACAACAATCTTTATTTGAGAACTGTGACCAATCAGATTGGTCACGTAGTCACGGGAACCATACCCTCCGGCATAGTTGATATTCAAGTTTTGATGTCTTCTACTCAGATGTCAAGTAAATTGTTACCAAATGTCAATTTCAGGATTGACCAGTAGTGTTGTCTCAAATAACACATAAGGCATGACCTCCTGAACGCCATCTGCCGCCGTTAGTTTTCACATTTTGGCCGAAAACACGCTGTCTTCTCTTCCATCAGTTAAGACGACCCTCTGTCAGTAACGTCACTGTCAACCCTTGAGCCCTCAGCTTGGCTTTTGTCTGTCGACAAACCATATAACCCAAGATTACGTCACTGTCAGGAATCGATTCCGGAAATGCAAAGAACGCAGGTACAGTTTTTCACTGGGCGTAGTTACCCCGAGTCTGCCTTGTTGGGCTGTCTGATGTCTGCCCGGCCTGTAACGTTGCATCATGTTAGTCACAACAACAGAGCAGACAAATGCTCTGGCAAATTGGGCGCGGGGCTCCCATCTGTATCATAACTAGGACTCGCTGGCGTTGTTGTTTTGTCATGGCATTCTAGAGATGTATTTTATGTGTGAGTGTCTCACCTGCCGTTCGTATCATTAATATCACATCAGACAATAACAAGTAGATACTGTATCGGCACTAATTAGTAGTTCCTCATAGGTGACCATATGTGTATATTTATCGTTACACTGTCCGCTATGATCATGCATAGGACTAATTAGCACTGCATGATCACCTAAGGTCTTCTTCTCAGAATATGCAGACCACATGGTCTATGTACATAATAATATCAGTTTAAAAGATTAAGGTAGTTTGAAGGTCTTTTGTTTACCTCAAATGAAATCTCCCATGATGAAAACCCAACTATTCGTACCTCTATGGTCAAGACGATCCTGTTAGGTACATATAGATGTTTACGCTCTATCTACTCTTAAACCTATCAATCCAAATGTTCGTTAATGTAAGCAAATAAGTAGTGAGCCGTTGTCCAGAATGATGGAGTTAAGCAGATTGAAGGCCGAATGGATTTTCGCCATATGAAGCATTAACATGATATCATTATGTATTTTAAATATCTAATGTATTTTATCACCTGTATACACCTGTCTTCTTGGTAAGGGTGGTAAGCAAGCGGACACATTGGCTGCACACACTCTGTCTTTCCATCACTCTTACACTGACATCGCCGACAGCGCTCGATCCATGTCGACCCGGAAGTCACCTCAACATTCGGCCATCTTTTGCATGTTACTGCAGTTTCGTTGGACACAGTTGTAAGTATCACGTGCACTAGTGACACCAGCACAATCCCGCACCTCGAAACACATGTTTGTGAGAAGGAGTTTGACCAGATACTCATGTCGACGAACACAGAATAATGTTTAAACAGATTTTCAAAACAGTTGTATGTAATACGTCCTGCCGGTACCATTTACCACACACTGTCATGCATCTGAATGTTCAGCTATTGTTTAGCTAATTACATACGAACAGAAAAACAGTGAGCTTGAAATCCAATTTTCCATGAAATGCCTTTGAAATGTCTTTCCCCTTTCATTGAGTTGTGTTGAACATAACATCCAGAAATATCGATCACAACATTTTACGAAGCAGTCTCAGTTCGTATAAGTTCATAATGGCATCTGAAATTCAGTTTTGATTCAAACGAAGGTACCGGGTTTAATGACGTCACCTGCGGCAACCACGTGACTTGCCCTGCAGTCGGTGTTAGGCCGCGTCATGTAGTTACGGTCGTCGTGGGAAGCGGTGTTGATAGCTGTCATAAGATGATTGATGTGAATTAGCTCTGTGTCGTCGAGCAACATATGCCTTCGTTCACTGTCTGTCGCTGACGTAAGATACACACCTCACCCTTGTTGATTTCTTAAAGATTTTATGTAGGCCATCACTCTTTTGTGATTACAAGCCTAAAATATGATCAGTATCTCAGAATGCATCTATCAGTTAGTGCTTGGGATATTTGATTTGAATGTGTTTTTTCATGCAGTGTAAAGCTATCTAGTTACTTATGCGCCATTATATTGGGTGTATATGTACTCGACATTTCGGCGTGTGTCAGAACTATCCACATTATGTTAAGTACTCGCGCTATGCAACCCGAAGTGGATTTTTATGAATATTCCAGATATACTCGCTTATTTTCAGGTATACTTTTCTATATTCCTTAGCTGTAATTACGTAGTTTTGACAATACCGTATGGCCTAACCATTATGATAGATCACTTTCACGTAGTGCTAATGGTTAGAATCTCATATCCTACCCTTCACCGTGTGCAGTCGGGCACACACAGTAGAGTGATATCGAGCAAACAGTGATATCAAGTACACGAAGTACAACAATATCAGGTACACGAAACCTAGCGTATCACGCAGTACGACAATATCAGGTACACGAAACCTAGCGTATCACGCAGTACGACAATATCAGGTACAAGAAACCTAGCGTATCACGCAGGACGACAATATCAGGTACACGAAACCTAGCGTATCACGCAGGACGACAATATCAGGTACACGAAACCTAGCGTATCACGCAGGACGACAATATCAGGTACACGAAACCTAGCGTATCACGCAGTACGACAATATCAGGTCAGGTCACACGAAACCCTAGCGTATCATCAGGTACACGAAACCCAGCGTATCACGAAGTATCGACAATATCAGCGGTACAATATCAGGTACACGAAACCTAGCGTATCACGAAGGACGACAATATCAGGTGCACGAAACCCACGTAAACGACAATATCAGGCGAAACCTAGCGTATCACGAAGTACGACACGCAGTACGACAATATCAGGTACACGAAACCTAGCGTATCACGCAGTACAATATCATCACGAAACCTAGCGTATCAGGAAGTACGACAATATCAGGTACACGTAGCGTATCACGCAGTACGACAATATCAGGTACACGCTCGACAATGTCAGCTCAACTAATAATAACAACATTAGATACGATCATTACATCCATATCAGGAACACTCAGTCCAGCCATATCAAGAACAGTAAAGAAAGCCATAAGTAGTGCAATATCGGGAACACTCAGTCCAGCCATATCAAGAACAGTAAAGATAGCCATAAGTAGTGCAATATCTGGGAACACATTGTGCAGTTATATCAAGAACATTAGGTTCAGTCATATTAAGAACATTAGGAGCAGTCATACCAGGAACACTAAATGAGGGCCATATCAGGAACACACGGTTCAGCCCTGTCCAGAGTTCTAAGCACAGCGAAATGAAGAACATTATGCACAGCCATATCAGGCTATCGACATCGATAGCAGGATGGGTTCACTAAACACAGGGCTGGCTGTCCAGGTTCACTCGACAGGTTCATTATTAGACAGAGGGGTGGCTGGTCAGATTCACACGGAACAGGGATGCCTGGCCAGGCTCACAAAGAACAGGGATGGATGGCCAGGTTCACTAAACAAAGGGATGGGTGACAGGGTTCACACGGAACAGGGATTGATGGACAGGTTCAATAGTATCTTGCCAGGTACACAAGGTACAGGGATGGATGGCCAGGTTCAATAGTATCTTGCCAGGTACACAAGGTACAGGGATGGATGGCCAGGTTCAATAGTATCTTGCCAGGTACACAAGGTACAGGGATGGATGGCCAGGTTCAATAGTATCTTGCCAGGTACACAAGGTACAGGGATGGATGGCCAGGTTCAATAGTATCTTGCCAGGTACACAAGGTACAGGGATGGATGGCCAGGTTCAATAGTATCTTGCCAGGTACACAAGGTACAGGGATGGATGGACAGGTTCACAAAACACGGGGAGGACTGGTAAGGTTCACAAGGCATATGGATAGCTGGCAAGGTTCACTAAAGAAATGGATGGGCCTGTCAAGCACAAGGGTGGCTGGCTGACTAGGTACAGGGATGGATGGACAGGTTCACTAGGTACAGGGATGGATGGACAGGTTCACTAGGTACAGGGATGGATGGACAGGTTCACTAGGTACAGGGATGGATGGACAGGTTCACTAGGTACAGGGATGGACAGGTTCACTAGCTACAAGGATGGATGGTCACTTTCACTAAATAAAGGGATGCGTGGCCATCTTCAGAAGGTACAGGGATGGGGGGCCAGGTGCATTGAAATTTTGCCATGTTGACTAGATACAATGACGGCTCGCCAGGTTCACTAGGTAGTTGGTACAATGATGCCTGGCCAGCTTTACAAGGTGCAATGAAATCTTGTCAGTTTTCTTTGATTGGCATTCTGGCAAGTTGAGGAGATAAAGAATGAGGACAATTTTTATGGATATACAACTTCTTTATTCTGTATAGGCGAATTTTCGAAATAGATTCTAATGTCGTTGTCAATCAAATGCCAGGTTGACTGGGTGCACTGACGGTTTGCCGGGTTCACAAGGTACACTAGGGATGGCTGGCCAGGTGTACAAGGTACAGGGATAGGTGGCCGGGTTCACAAGGTACAGGGAAGGTGGCCAGGGATAGGGATGGTGGCCAGGTTCACAAGGTACAGGGATAGGTACAGGGATAGGTGGCCAGGTGTACAAGGTACACTAGGGATGGCTGGCCAGGTGTACAAGGTACAGGGATGGATGGCCAGGTTCACAAGGTACACAGGGATGGATGGCCAGGTGGCCAAGGTTCACCAGGTTCACAAGGTACACAGGGATGATGGCCAGGTGTACAAGGTACAGGGATGGTTGGCCGGGTTCACAAGGTACACTAGGGATGGATGGCCAGGTGTACAAGGTACAGGGATAGATGGCCGGGTTCACAAGGTACACTAGGGATGGATGGCCAGGTGTACAAGGTACAGGGATAGGTGGCCGGGTTCACAAGGTACACTAGGGATGGCTGGCCAGGTGTACAAGGTACACTAGGGATGGCTGGCCAGGTGTACAAGGTACAGGGATAGGTGGCCGGGTTCACAAGGTACACTAGGGATGGATGGCCAGGTGTACAAGGTACAGGGATAGATGGCCAGGTTCACAAGGTACAGGGATAGATGGCCAGGTTCACAAGGTACAGGGATGGATGGCCAGGTGTACAAGGTACACTAGGGATGGATGGCCAGGTGTACAAGGTACAGGGATGGCTGGCCAGGTGTACAAGGTACAGGGATAGGTGGCCAGGTGTACAAGGTACAGGGATAGGTGGCCAGGTTCACAAAGTACAGGGATGGCTGGCCAGGTTCACAACGTACAGGGATGGCTGGCCAGGTGTACAAGGTACAGGGATAGATGGCCAGGTTCACAAGGTACAGGGATGGCTGGCCAGGTTCACAAGGTACAGGGATGGCTGGCCAGGGTACAATGTACAGGGGTGGATGGCCAGGTCTACAAGATACAGGGATGGTTGGCCAGGTGTACAAGGTACAGAGATGAGTGGCCAGGTTCACAAGGTACACTAGGGATGGGTGGCCAGGTGTACAAGGTACAGGGATAGGTGGCCAGGTTCACAAAGTACAGGGATGGCTGGCCAGGTTCACAACGTACAGGGATGGCTGGCCAGGGTACAATGTACAGGGGTGGATGGCCAGGTCTACAAGATACAGGGATGGTTGGCCAGGTGTACAAGGTACAGAGATGAGTGGCCAGGTGTACAAGGTACAGGGATAAATGGCCAGGTTCACAAGGTACAGGGATAGATGGCCAGGTTTACAAGGTCAGGGATGAATGGCCAGGTTCACAAGGTACAGGGATGGCTGGCCAGGTTCACAAGGTACAGGGATGGCTGGCCAGGTGTACAAGGTACAGGGATGGCTGGCCAGGTGTACAAGGTACAGGGATGGCTGGCCAAGGTACAAGATACAGGGATGAGTGGCCTTGTGTACAAGATACAGGGATAGGTGGCAAGGTGTACAAGGTACAGGGACAGGTCGCCAACTGTACAAGGTAAAGGAATGGCTGGTCAGGTTTACAAGGTACAGGGATGGTGGCAAGGTGTACAAGGTACAGGGATGAGTGGCCAGGTTTACAAGGTACAGGGATGAGTGACCAGGTTTACAAGGTACAGGGATGGTGGCAAGGTGTACAAGGTACAGTGATGAGTGGCAAGGTGTACAAGGTGCAGTGATGAGTGGCCAGGTGTACAAGGTACAGGGATGGTGGCAAGGTGTTCAAGGTACAGGGATGAGTGGCCAGGTTTACAAGGTACAGGGATGAGTGGCAAGGTGTACAAGGTACAGGGATGGTGGCAAGGTGTACAAGGTACAGGGATGGTGGCAAGGTGTACAAGGTACAGGGATGAGTGGCCAGGTTTACAAGGTACAGGGATGAGTGGCCATGTGTACAAGGTACAGGGCTGGCTGGCCAGGGTACAACGTACAGGGATGAGTGGCCAGGTTTACAAGGTACAGGGATGAGTGGCCAGGTGTACAAGGTACAGGGATGAGTGGCCAGGTTTATAAGGTACAGGGA